TAAATTACTTTTTGCCTGTTAACTTGTACAATAAAACAGAAGCAACAACACAAATCATCGATAAACAACAACAACAACACCAACGACGACAGCAACTACCCAAAAAATTATCAAATATTTGAATTGATACTTGTAGACAAGACCGGTATGGTAAGAGCAAAAAAAAAAACAAAATTTAGTAGACCTTATTGTTTTAAGACACACACTCACAGACATACTTACATGGAACCCAAACCAACTATAATTGAAATGTTCTGAGTTTGCCAAAGCTCTACTGTTGGCCACTAACTCACAATATAATCGTTATCTACTGTACAAGAAAAAACATCAGAAATCTGCCTTTCTTTCTGCTACAAATTTCGAATAAACAACGATTTCTGGTATCCATACACTTTTGCAGATGAAATTTTGAAACTGATCAATTTATCAGAACCCCTTATTCAAAAAAATCACCGTTTTTGCTGTCTCTTTTTCTTCTACAAGTTTCGCAGTAATACTTGCAGAAGAAAGAAAAAAACCAACAACTCATAATGAGAAAAAAAAAGAACAAAAAAAACTTTTTTTTCCTTTGATTTTTGTTTGATGTGGCGGCTAAACACACTGCTGATATGCATGTGCACCGATATTTACGACAAGGTATCGCCGCTATCTGATCAAACTGTTCCGAAGTTTTTAGGCAAAAATCAAGTCCAATTTTTTTTTATTTTTTGTTATTTTTAATTTTTTTTCCCTAAAATTACAACTGATTTATCCCATTCTCTGCTTTCAGTGCCTTTCTTAATTTTTTCACGATCCCTCCTCCAGCTCTCAGTCTTGCCTTCAAGCCTCCGACCTCTTCTTCTCCCCCGATTCCTTCTAGATATTTAAAAACAGGAATATAGAGAGAAAAGATGGCGAAGAAAAAAGAACAAAAAAAAGAGAAAACAAAAACAAAAACAAAAAGTTCATAAGGTCTTTGATACGGCAGAAATGTAAAAATGTGTAAGAAAAAGAAAGAAAAAAGAAAGAGAGTAAAATAGGAAAACAATTATTTAACGTCAACCTATTGAAGAAATTTTTTTTTTTTT